TACAGTGCGATTGAAACTTCGTGGCCCATGCGCAGAAGTCGGTATTTTGTGGAAGAGCCACACTCAAGGGGCCAAAGAGCCAAATGTGGCTCGCGAGCCTCGGTTTGCCGACCACGGGGCTCGGTTCATGGAAAGAGCAGGACAAAGGCCAGTGTGGCTGGGTGGAGTGAGCTAAATACAGGTGGGAGCTGGAGCTGGGAAGGCGGGCGGGGCCCAGCTCATGCAGGGCATTCGTGTTCATTCCCCACGTGATGGACGGCCCGCAGTGGGTCTAGCGGGGCAGCCAGTGACCAGGTTTGCTTTAGTTTAGAGCATGCTTTGTGCTGCTGGCCCAGGGGAGGGGCTGTGGGCCAGGATGAAGAAGTGACGCTGCCGGACCTGTGAGGGTGAAGACCGGCTGTGTCTGTCTGGCACCGAGGGATGAGGGGCTCTGACCCCTGAGAGCTGAGTTAGCCTGGTGGGATGGCCTGGGGTTCCCTCTACTGAGGGTCACCCGCAGCACGTGAGGTCGGGAGGTGCTCCCGGCGGCAGGTGCTCTGTGGGTCTTTGGGGGAGTCCTTGGGGGGCTTCAGACTATGCGTCTCAGACTGTTCAGGGAACCCCGACATCCCCCCTCCCCCCGCTTCTGAAGCATCAACCCCACTCTCAGCTTAGATTTAGACATAGGTAACTAGTTTAAATTATTTTTCCAAATTTTAAATACATGTGGAATAGAATTAAAAATACAGCCTCTCTTTTTTTTAAAGAAAAAATGAAGCGATTTCACCTTTGTAGTCAGCAATGCTGACAGGCCCCTTGGGGTGCACGCAACTGTGAGGGGTACCTTGGGGTAAAAGTTTGAGGATATGGGCCTAAAGGTGCAAAATAGGAGGAAAAAGGTGGGCGAGGAGGAAAAGGGGAGTCAAAGAGAAACAAGAGAGAGGGAATTCCGTATTTCCCAACCAATTTCCCAAAGCCTTCCTTTCCCTCCAGCCCCACCGGGGCCCTGCCTGGCCGAGGGGCCCGAGGAAACAGGCCTTTTCCTTCTGGTCCCCACACTGGCTGTTCTGCTGGGAGACACTTTCCTTTCTTAAGAGAACCCCGTGGAAGGCGTGCTTCCTCTTCACTGGTTTCCTTTAATTGCATGTGATCCACAGTAAAGACAGACACACAGCTGTGGCCGATTGTATTTTTTCTCCAGGCACACCCATAAAGCAGGTCTTTGCTGGGCGGGCTATTTACATGGTGGAAAGAACACGCCATCTCCTTATCGAGGGACAGGCTGGAGGGCTGGGTCGGGCGGGGACGGTCACGCTGTGTGCTGGGACCAGCTTGGCTGGCTGAGGAGGGCAGGGACCCTTCTGGGATGTTGTGAACATCCTCCCAGGGGCGTGCATGGGGTCAGTCCTAGGCCAGGGCCACGTTCAGAATTGGCATGAACCTTAGAAGGCATCTGCAGTGATGGCGATAGCGTCAAGCCGCAGGCAGGGCTGGGGGTGTCCTGGGGGTGGCGGTGGTGGGCTCTAGGCTCAGTTCTTGTCTCTGGTGTCCGAGGAGGCACTTCCGAACAAGATGTCACTGTCCTGGGACAGGCCGCTCAGCTGCGACTTGGTTTTGATGAGGAACTGGGTCCTCCGGAACATCACCCGCTCCTGCTCCTGCTTGAGCTCCAGGTAAGAGCGGGAGAAGGTATGGAAGATGGAGGTCACTGGGAAGGCCATGAGGAGGATGCCGCTAAGGATGCTGCTGAGGGCCACCACCTGGCCAGGCGTGCTCCTGGGTACCATGTCTCCATAGCCCACAGTTGTCATGGTGATGACCGCCCACCAGTAGCAGGCGGGGATGCTGGTGAACTCCGGGCTGTCGGCCATCTCGTTCTCGATGACGTAGAGGAGGGGGGCGAAGAGGGCGATGGCCACGCAGAGGAAGAGCAGCAGGAGCCCGAACTCCCGGGTGCAGCGGCGGGCGGTGAGCCCCAGCGTCTGCAGCCCCAGGGAGTGGCGGGCCAGGCGCATGACGTACAGGATGCGCAGCGCGCGCAGGACCCGCAGCACCAGCCCTACCTTGTCCAGGTAGCTGTTGCCTGTGCCCGGCTTGCGGCGGCCAGAGGCGGCACCGTCCACCAGCAGGGTGATGTAGTAGGGCAGGATGGCCACCAGGTCGATCAGGGTCAGCGGGCTCCGCAGGAAGGCGAACTTGCTGGGCGCCTGGATGAACCGCAGGAGGAACTCGAGCGAGAACCAGCCCACACACACCGACTCCACGATGAAGACGTTGTGGCACATCTGGGAGCACTGGCCCTGGGGGAGGGGAGAGTCCCGGGAGAGTCAGCGGTCCCACCAGGAGGAGGATGGAGCTTGGCCCTGGGCAGGGCGCTGTGCTACCTGGATGACCCCCCCGCCCCCGCCCGTGTCATATGGCCCTGGGGCCTCTGCCTAGTTATGCGCACCCCCTGGGCGATCGCTAGGGCTTGAGGTGTCATCTCGATGCTGACCATCTCTCTCTCTAGCCCAGACCTTGCCCCTGAACTTCAGAACCCAGATGGGCTGGGCTGCCTTCTTGTTGTCACCTCTCGGGTGTTTGATGGGAGTCACAAACTCCTCATGTCCCAAACCAGCTCCTGATTGTTTTAAACATTTTTTTTTGGTGAAGTATAATTAACATGTAAGTTTAAGGTGTCCATGTGCTGACTGGTGCATCTACACATTGCAACATGGTTACTGCCATAGAGCGGACACCTCTATCATGCCACATAATTATCATTTCTTTTTTGTGGTGAGAACAATTATGATCTAGTTTCTTTGTAGAGCTGTACACTTGAAACCTGTGTCATTTATTAACAAATGTCACCCCAGTAAATTCAATAAAAATTAAAAAGGATCCAGTTTCTTTGGGCTCCTGATTTCACCAGCCCGCCTGTCGTTCCCCTGATTAGCAAACAGCGGTTCCACCTTTCCCATTTTGCTCAGGACAAGAGACTTAGCCTTGTCCTGACACCTCCCATGTCATCCTCAGGAAATCCCGTCGGCTCTTTATTTAAAATGATTCCAGAATCTAACCACTTCTCACCATGTCCACGGCCCCAACCTGGTCTAGCCACCATCCTCTCTCACCTGGACAGGGTGGGCACCCCCTCCCTGGGCTCCCTCGGCCTACAGTCCATTTAGCCAGAGGGACCCTGAGCACAGGAGTCAGATCCTGGCCCTCCTTGATCAGCAGCCCCCATGGCTCAGAGGGACAGTGCAAGTCTCCCAGGACACACGTGGCAGCTGCCACCCCTCGCTTCCTCGCCCTTGCCCACCTCGCTCACCTGCTCCCGCCTCGCGGGTCTCCTCGCTGCCCCTCCACCAGCCCAGGCTCACCCCCCAGCAGGATTCCTCTTCCCCAGACGCCCACATGGCTCTGCCCTCCTGCCTCCAGCTCTTTGCTTCAATATCACCTTCCCAGGGAGGCCTTGGTGACCCCTTGTTTAAAAATCACCCTCTCCCTTTGTCCTATACCCAATTCCCCTTATCCCGCTCCATTTATTCACAGCACTTCCCATCTTTGAATATGCCTTTAAGTTACTTATTTATCATGTTTATTGTCTGTCTCTGCCCCCTCCTCTCTGTCCCAACAGACTGTAACCCCAAGGATGGGGCAGTTTGTTCACTTGCAAAGGCCCGGCGTGCTGCAGGTGAGCAGCTCATATGTGTTACCTGGCTGGACGGAAGAGCACTGGAATGGCGTTCGGACGGGGGGAGGGGGACAACTCAAGGCCAGGCGGGCAAAGGAAATGGGGGAGCTGAGCCATTTGGGGTGGAGGCTGCCAGAGAGCATGGCCATCACGTCCACCCCTTGATCGCTGCCCTGAACCACGAATTCCGGCTTGAGACAGCCTCATTGGAGAAAAGCTGGAAATCTGGAGTTTTCCATGAAATCTCCTGGATTTTAATGTCGTGATAAGTCAGTACAAAGAAAACACTCCATCGGCCTCTCACACACACCTGCGTGCTGCTGCCTCCGGCAGGCGGGCTGCCAGCTGGTCTCTCTGGAATATAACTGGATGGTGGCGACCTCAAGTTCAAAGGGGCCTTTTGGCAGAGAGGAAGGCATGGATGGCTGTAGCCTGGGGCACCCTGTGGTCCCTGGGCACAGCTGGGCTCTGCGAGTCCTGCTCTAATAGCTCTCTCTCTAGAAATACGTTAGAGCAAAGGTTCTCAACCTTGGCTGCACATTAGAATCACCTGGGAATCTTTTTAAAATCCTGATTTCTGGGCCTCATCCTCCGGAAATTCTGTTTCTTTGTTATGGGGTGGGGCCACACTCAAAGGCACAAGGGACTCACACAGAAGGAGGCTGAACTGGGGAGCAGATGTCCCGGGGACTCAGTTCCCACCGAGAGCGGCTGTGTGGGATGGCAGACCAGCAGCCCCACCATACAGAGTTTTAACAGGAGCTGGGAGTTTGAATTTTTAAATGAAAAAATACCTTACTTTTAAATGTTGGGGCCCTAGCTGGTTTGGCTCAGTGGATAGAGCATCGGCCTACGGACTGAAGGGTCCTGGGTTCGATTCCGGTCAAAGGCACATGCCTGGGTTGCGGGCTCGATCCCTAGTGTGGGGCGTGCAGGAGGCAGCCGATCAATGATTCTTTTTCATCACTGATGTTTCCATCTCTCCCTTCCTTTCCCTTCCTCTCCAAAATAAATAAAAATATATATTAAAAATAAATAAATGTTGGGGACCAAGTCAAAATTTGGGGGAGTGCAGCCCATGACCCACCTTTGTGGGCTATCTTAGGACTCAGGCTCCATGTGGAACCCATAGTTCCACATTTAAGAACACGGAATTTGGACTTGGTCAGACCTGGGTCTGGGCAAGCTGCTGGGCCTCAGTGTTCTCATGTGTCACGTGTCTGAGAGCACACCTGTACAGGGTACGGGGTACGGGGATGCTGGAAGAGTCTCTGTCAGATTGGATGCAGGCAGGGCTGCAGCGGCTCCTGGCTCCCCTGCTAAGTGGTAGCCCTGAGAATGGAGCACGCCCTGCGCCAGCTTCTGGAGTAAACCCTCTATAAGCATTCACTTATTTAACAAAGAAACGCTCACTATTTGAAGACACGCGCACACACGCATCCCTACCACAGAAGTTACATTTCTGGGATATTTTTATACAAGGGAACTCGGAAGGTTGAGAAAGGACTTAAGTCGGTGAAATAAATGTTGATGATGTGTCATGTGCTTCAGGCCAAGCACATCATAAATCATGCCATCCACTTATTCACTCATTCATTCATCCAACAGAGAGTGCTGGAGTGCCTTGTGGTGCTGGACACTGCTGTAAGACACTGGGGGCACAGGGCCTAGACCGGGACAGGTATGGAGCCCCTATTTGAATGTGGAGGTGGATGACATACTGTCAGGAGGGAGGGAGGATGGTCCTCAGCCAGCGCAGTCAGGGAAGGCCTCCTGGAGGAGGTGACACTGTGAAAGTTGTGGACTTCTGAGAGGAGGTGGCCTAGCAGACAGCTTTGTCTCCTGTCCTGAGTGACCGTCCCCCATGCAGCAAGTCTCCCCGCACACAGTTGTGGGCTCTTACCTGCTCCTCCTCCTCCCTCAAGCTGGGCAAGGTGCTGATGGAGAGATTGACGGCGGTGATGGTGACAAAGAGCACTGACAGGCAGGCAAACACCTTGCCTGGCAGCCCCGAGTGCGGCCTCTCCACCATGTCACGCAGCCTCCGCATGCAGTGGCCCCGGTGGCCATCACCCTCCGCCAGGCCTTCACTGTCCTGGCTGTCACTGTCCAGCGGGTCCTCCTCATCCTCCCGCTCCACCATCTCGGCAAACTCCTCCATCTTCTGCAGGTAGCGGCGTTTGCAGCAGCCGTCCAGGTGGTCCTCGGCGATGCCCCAGTACAGCAGCTCCTCCTGGAAGGACAGGGCACACATCTCACGCAGCAGCCGCAGCTTGCCCGCCCGCAGGAAGGTCAGGATGGTGCCGAAGGCCCCCGGGTTGCGGTCGAAGAAGAACTCGTTGCAGGTGACATCGTAGTCATCGCACACGTTGAGGATGTCGTCAAAGTTGGTGCAGGCCTTGAGCTGGCCCAGCCGCGTCATCGGGAACTCCTCGAGCGTGGTCCAGGGCAGCGAGTACTTGATGCCACCCACGTTGATGATGATCCGCCTCCGGCGGTCCTCGGGCAGGCCAGCCTGGCGGGGCTCATCCTGAGGCCGCAGCCGCTGGGCCCGGCGGTAGAAGACGCCCTTGAGTGACTGGCTCTGCGGGAAGAAGGCCGGGTGGGAGGAGGCGTCGGAGGTGCAGCTCAGGGCGCTGTAGTCGTAATCAGAATTGTCTCCTGGTAAGAGGGTCATTTTGAGTCTTCACATCCCTCTCCGGCCTGGGGGAAGAAGAGAGGAGAGACCCTCAGTGACTCCCGAGACTCAGCTGACAATGCTGATCCTGCAATTATTTGCTGCTGTGGACTGAATTGTGTCCGCCAAATTCATAGGGAGAAGCCCTAACCCCAATGGGACCATATTCGAGGTGGGGCTTTGGGGTGGTGACTAGGTTTAGATGAGGCCATGAGGGTGGGGCCCTCATGATGGGATTAGTGCCCTTATAAGGAGAGGAAAAGATACCGGAGCCCTGCCCCTCCACTCTGTGAGTGCCCAGTAAGGGGGCATCATCTACAAGCCAGGAAGAGAGTCCTCATCAGAACCCCACCAGGTTGGTGGCCTGATCTCGGACTTCACCTCCTCACCCCGAACTGTGAGCAATAAATGTCTGTTTGAGAGCCACCCAGTTCAGGTATTTGGTTACAGCAGCCCCAGTGCACAAAAACATTCACTTAAGAGTGAAAATAGCAACGGCATCCTTCAGCATCCCTAAGTGTTACAGTTCCTCCACATCCGCCTCATTTATAGAAGTATGCTGAGAGCTGCTGTGTGCCAGGCACTGCTGTAGGCTCTGCTGATTCATAGCCACACACAGAATCAGACAGGGTCCCTGGCCCGCGGAGCAGGCGTCCCTCTGGGCTGCCAGGCAACCTCTGTACTATTATTTACTTAAAACTTCATTGTACATTAGCCCCAAATTTTTTTTGCATTTACTTAGCTTGTAAAGGTAGTTTAGTGTAGACCAGTGGTTCTCAACGAGGGTCAATTTCTCCCCCAGGGGACACATGGCAATATTTGGAGGCATTTTTGATTATCATGTCTGGTGGATGTTACTGGCATAGTAGATAGGGGCCAGAGATGCTTCTAAAATCCCTACAGTGCACAGGCCAGGCCCCACAACAGAGAATTATCTGGTCCCCAAAGCCCATAGTGCTTAGGAGGAAAGGCGCTGGTGTGGTGGTTATGAGCATAGACTTGGAGCCTCATGGCCTGGGCAAGTTACTCAACCTTCATGTGTTCTAATGTCCTCATCTGAGAAATGGGTATAAACATATGACCTACTCCATAGAACTATCAAGACGATTCAATGAAGAGTACTTAATACAGTGCCTGGCACATAGTAGGTATGCAATGATTATTATTACTATTTGTATTTATCTTGGAGGGATATTGCTTTATAAATGGGAAAAGTATATCATTTGCCACCAATAAGAGATAATGTCCAAAGAAATGCAGTTATGATAACAGTGCCACATTCGTTCACGAATCAGCAAACGTCCTCTTGAGGATACAGGCGTGAACAAAGACAGGCATGCTTGCTCCTCCAGGAAGCCTTCTTAGCTTTGCCAGCTAAATCGAGCTCCCTCTGTCCCCCTTCATAGTGCATTTATCTCCACTGCACTTATCACCCATATTTAGAATTATCTGTGTGCAAGCCTGGCTTCTTTATT